CGCCAAAGGTCCCTAAGAAAGACTATCGTCTTTAAAAATATAAATGCTCTCGTTGCAGTCATTGATGAGGTCTGGTTGGACATGGCATACTTGAACGTTGGCCGGCACCGGTATTAACATATTATGTGCAACTAACCTGGTGTATTGGAGCATATCACATGTCGTGGCCCGGTACTACGTGAACAGATTTGAAGGGAACGGTGGAAGGACGAAGGAGAAGAACAAAGAGATCGCACTTTCGATGTAAGCCTGGTTGTCGTAGATTGTTAGGTTGGCGCAGTCTGACAAATTACAAAGCATATGGACTCACGCAAACCACCAGCCACAATTTTACACGTGTGATATGAATGAGGATGTGTTGTATGATATACCTGCTTGCATCACGACTCATAAGCTTCGTGTGTTAATCACTCAGAAGGCAGGAAAGATGCGGCAAAACATTGGTGTTCTAGTATCAGTGAAAATAGATTTGAAGCATTCAAAACTTCAAAAACATATCAAGGCGCTGCTGGTTCAGCTGAAGTCAAGAACTTCATCGAGCCAAAGCAGTTTTTCTTGGACTCGTGCCTCCTAAAAATACATCGTTTGCAATAGCAACACGACAAGCGAAAACAGAATCTCATAGAAAATATTCTAACGGTTATTAGTGCCCGTCAACGGCTAGACAAGCAGATGGTAAAACCTGACATCTTCGACAGAGAATGCTCAAGCCCAGAGACTTGGATGCAGCTCTATTAGCTATCGTGTGAGGAGAACTCCTGACTTGAACCCCACGAGTGCACCAGAAACACACCTGAGTTTCTCTAGCAACTTGTCAAGAAATGGTACGACATCCCCTACGCTGAACATATCACATATACTTGGATCCAGTGGAGACTGAGCTTTTTGGCAGATTTTGAAGAAAACTTGGTTTAAAGGCTGTACTGAGCTCTATTTCAATAAATATCGCCTAATTCCTTGGCTTCGAAAGAAGACGCATATGTTTGTGACTGTGCACTATTTACTGGATCTTAAACAGCGAAAGAGACGTTCTTCCTTTCCGCATGCCCATAATTGATGAAGTAATTGATGAAACCACAGGTTGCGAAATATTTTCTCGTATAGACCTCTGCGCAAGGATTCTGACAGGTTCTGCTGGAAGAAAAATGCGGAAGGTGCACTTGTTTTTCAGGCCATTTGACATGTCCGAATATAATCATTTACCTTTCTGATAAATAAACTGTGTGGCTCTGTTTGAATGGATGTTGAAAAGTGTTCCCTAGCCATACTTAGATTTTTATGCAATGTGTACGTAGACGACGTCATAGTAAATTCCAAGTATGAACAATCACACAATCAGTGCGTCACTTCTGTTTTGATCGCATTACGGGACAGCAATGTGAAAGTAAACTTTAAGATAAGTAAGTTTGTTAACATGGTATCACACTTATTGAACGCATTTATGACAGCTTTACAGAATCTACGAAAAATGAGTCCGTACAACGTGTACGACTGACGAAGCCAGTCAGTGTACACGCAGTCACAGTGCTTCTAGGCCTCGAAGGACATTTTGGAAGTTACAGAAAAGGTTTTGCAGACCAAGTGAAGCCACTGAACAACTTGCTCCGTAAAAACTTAGTTTTCACGTTGGCGGAAGAGTGTGAGATGGCGTACAAAGATTTGGTATAGGTGATTTCATAATACCCAGTACTCGCACTACCGGATTTAAGTGTTAAATTTCAACTCACAACGGACGCATCGAACTACGACGCAGCTGCTGTGCTGCACCAGCAAAGAGGAACAAGTGGAAGCAAAAGAGGAAAACAACAAGTGATAGGTTCTTCCTCCAATACTTTCACAAAGTCCGAACAAAATCAAAACACGACTGAAAAAGAGGCATGGGTTGTCGTACTATTGATTAGGCATTTTCAATTATACCTAGAAGACACGAAATTCAAGACGTTCACTGACATTTAGGCCCTTACTCATTCGCTAAATAGGTCTCAACCAAAGACCGACTCCCTAGATAGATAAGTGAAATTTAACAGTTTGATTTTGAGGTCATTTTGAGGTGGCGCACAGAATCAAACAAAATTTATCACACCGACGCCCTTTCTCGACTTCCCTTTGTCAGTAACTGTACAGGCGTCGAGAGGCGGAACTCACTTCGAATATGAAAAGGCACCGAGAAGCTGATGTATATAGACGGAAACTTTGACGTGCAAAATACTCTGAGCAAAAGACTGCTGGACCTTTATCAAGACAGTCCAGAGTTAGGAGTGCGTCATCGCTTCTGGCAGACTTACTAAAAAATGAGGAGAACATTTGCATGGCCTGGCTTGATGAAACATTTAGGCGATCACATTATCTATTGTCAACATTTTAAATGAACGACGCAAATATAACCAAAATGGACATAGCGTATTTCCACCTTGTTGAAATGTTTCATTTGAAACCATGCACGTAGCTCCTCCTAAACTGAAGAAGGCAAGCGAAGGGTTGAAAGAAACGCAGTGTTTTTTAATGCGCACTGGTGAATGCTCACCGCTGCTAGCTCTCAAGCCAGCAAAAAAATCTGGTGCTGTCATATTTCTCTTGAGCAGAAACATCTTTAAAAGGGGTGAAGTGTGTTATGTTCGACAATGAAGCCGGGTTCAAGAGTGAGGCATTCGTATAGTGGGCAAACGAAACAAACCTTACCCTGAAGTTTACAGCCTTTTATCACTCTCAAGCTAACGAACCAGCAGAGTGTTCCATTCGTGATGACAAACAATATATCAGCATGTACCCAAGATTCTGAGGAGAGAGAAAAATTTGCCACAAAGCAGCTGTGTCACAACACAACAGATAACATAAAACTACTCCTGGGTGCAGCCCTCAATACACCACCTTCGGGGAGCTTGCCTATTTACCTGCGGGTGGCGTACTTGGCATATCAGAAAAGTTTCACTAGAGAGAAACAAAAAAATTCACAACGAAAACGAATCAAATACAAGCGATGAAGAGAGCATTTGACAAACGTCATAACCTAAATATTCCCGCGACAGCACCAGGTGATATGGTTCTAGTGCAGAAATGTTATCCTGGTCGTAAAAGAAAACTTGTGGGTCCAGTCAAAGCGGTGAAGTTGGTCACAAAACAAGGAGTGATGAAGGCCATTGGCTATGCAACGATAAACGGTGTTACGAAAATAGCAGCCGTTCTTCACCTCTTATTTGAAGCGGAAGAGTGAATTAAAAACCGGGAGATTGCAGAAGGTCCATACTACGATAGACAGCATTTGTGGGAACGGGGGAAACAAGAAGAATAAAAAATTACGGCATATTCACGGGGTGAATGATGATGAATGGGCGAAGCTCCGGAGGGATTCATCGGTAAACTGTGAATCTTCCGTGTAATTCGCCCAGTCGATCATCATGTAAAGACGTGAAAAACGCTGTGTGTGTATATACACAAATCAACTTTTATTTGTTCTTAGACGATGGATGGCTTGCGATGTCCCTTGCCTCGCGCGCTCGCACATCGGGATTCTGTCTGCGAGCGCGCGCTGCGGCCGCCTTGCGCTCTCTCAGCTGTGCAGCCTTATCCATCCGGCGACTCCGAGCGCGCGCCAACAGCGAACGGATTTTATTACAACGCTCCCCCTAGCGTACGTCGCCGCACTAAATCGAACGATTGCCTTCAACCAATGACATGCGCCATATGTGACATCATTCCTATTTTATAAGATCTCGCGTCTTTCATCAACTACAAGTACCGCTTTCTAGTTTATAACATCTTGCATCTTTTCATCATCGGCTACAAGTACCACCATCTAGTAAACACTACAAGAACTAAACGAGAGGTGGCTACATACAGGAGACGGTACCGCCATCTAGTGAACACTGCAAGAACTAAACTAGAGGTGGCTACATACAGGGGACGGTACCGCCATCTAGTGAACACTGCAAGAACTAAACTAGAGGTGGCTACATACAGGCTACAGGGGACGCACAGCCCACGCCCTAAGGAGCTTCGCCCCTAAAAGATTGTACTTTGAGTCTATGCCTGGTTGTCGTGTATGGTTACATCACGTGTCAGAGAATAACAAAATATAAAACAAATCAAGCAAGAGCATGACACATGAGGTCACAAAACAATTTTGTGAAAGGACAATATGTACTAATCCTCGTGTTTACAAAATAACTGCATGAAAACGATGAACACACAAAATGAAGAAATGCTGAAGAAAGAGCAAACAAATATTAGTAGCTCAGCAATCATTGTAAAAAACTATTAGAGTAAGTTGGATTCATACACAGCCATTTTAACTAAAGCTTACATTCTATACGCGCACCTGATTAAAAAAAACAGTTCAATCTTGCGTAACCACCGATTTCTATGCTTCCTTGTTTTAAGATTTTGTAGTAGCAAGAGCTCTTTACCTAAAGATTCACCCTAGTCTCACTGTGAAAATCTCAGATTGTTTAGAAGAACAGACGAAGAACGTGTCAAACCGGCAACTACGAATAAAACTGATAGGATGAAAAACGCCAGAGTCTGGGTCGACGCTCGGCCATCTGAAAATAAGTGCAGAAGACTGCCACATTAGAAGGTAATGTTGATTTTCCTATCGCTGAAGTAGTGACAACAGATGTTAACACAGTTTTTTTTTAAACGTGCGTGCTCATAGAGTTCTGTGCTCAGCCTCCCGTGCTTTAACGCAAACATGACTGTGACCACTTACGCATAAAAACAATACCCATCATTACTGACTAATGAACGTCATTTGTAAGAAATGCCATTAAATGGCCTCAGGTGTCTCTTTGAGTCCATTTTAAAGCCTTTCCAATTACCGAGATTTGCCTTTTAATAATTTTACTGGATACGAAAATATCAGCAGTAGACGGTACGCGTAGTTCTTCCGATATTTCCCCTTCATGAAGTAGTATTCACATTAAACTAGGTACCTTTTAGATTTATTGACCTTATTATTTTCCGACTCAACTATATAAAGCTCCGTGCCCAAATGACCGCCCAACGTAGAGTATATGCATGAATAAAACATGGCAAGGCGTTTGAATGCAGCTACGTTCATCATAGTAGTCTCCAGTGCTACGTTCTGCGGAGCGGACTATTATCGTGGAGGCCGAAGTGTAAATCATAATTACGACTTCACTAAGGTAAATTTCTTCTTAAGACAAGCATGCTTGGCTGCTTGGCTCCATAAGAAACGTTCTTTATTGCACTGAATATATTTACGCAAAAGTTGCCACGTCGATTTAGTGAACACCATGCAGCAATTAAAAATTGGAAGCACTTGCCGCTTGTTCTGGTGTTTGCACCAATGTACTTGCCGAACTCTACCTTAAAGCCAGCTCTATAGGTATGGTATGATGCGGTGCTGGGTGAGTTAGTGTATTCTCCTAAATTAAACTGCTGGCTCCGTTCAGGTAATTTTTAAGATGTTCAGCATAGATGCAAATTGCTTCCAATCAACGTGCGTCTGTCTACATTGCATATTACTTTTTCTGTGTAGTCACCTGTTTGTTTTGATAGTGAATTACGGACATTCTCGACAGACTATTTCTATTCACTTAGAGAATTAGATAGAGTGCTACAAGAACAAAATAAATGTATTACTCTTCGCGAAGTTTTCTTTTTTATTGCATGGGGGAGTAGAATAAAGGAGACTGCGAACGCTCTACTACTCAGTTGAAGTTCCAAATCTATGCAACTCTCGTGCTGATGAGGTTTGAATAAGGTCTGGTACTCCATTCTTGCTGATGGAGTACAATTTAGCACCTGTATATCACCAATAACGCCGCTATAACAGCACCACAAGGGAAAGCCATCAAGGTAAAATTTTTGTGTGGCGCCATGAAGTGTTTGCTGTGCGGGCGCTGTATGGAACTGGTGAACTGGAGCTGCAGCTGGAGCACCTCGGACGTTCGCCTATCGGCTCTGCTTAGGCGCCAGGCAGCAGCCGTGCCCGTGAATCGGCAGTCACCTTGTCGCAGCTGCTTCGTTGGCCTCGTGATACTAATGTTTTAATTGTGCAAGTTTTATTGTAAACATGTGCTTATTTGTATTTAGATTCGAGTGTACAAATCACGCAAACGATGCTCGCTACACCTACACATTGATAACCATGAACTGTCAAAATTTCGCAATAATTTTCTGACTGCGACAACAATGGAAATCATCCAAGACACCAGACAAGCATCCCCCGAATCTGCAGTGAAGCAAGAAGCCTCCACTGTCACTTTTCGGCTTCCGAAATCCTGGCCTGCTGATTCGTTCCTTGGCTTAACCAGTGAACAGCCAGTTTGTGACATAAAAATGGCATCTCAGACATCACAATTTCCCCTCGTCTTGCCTGCGCTTTCACCAGAGATCGCTGGCAAAATTATATACCTTAAACTTCTGCCACCCGAGGCGAATCAGTATAATGACACGTTGTTTGCCGAGCTTCTGAAGCACACTTCGTCATCAGCAAGGCAGCGTCTTAAGCAGCTCCATTCTGCTGGAAAATTAGGCGACCGAAAGCCATCCCAACTTTTGCGCCGTCTTCAGCAGCTTCTCAGTGACAAGGCTTCTTTTTTCGATCAAGATCTGTTTAAGGAGTTCTTCTCACGAAGCCTGCCTCCCACTGTCTTCATGGTGCTTATCACTGCAGCTATCTTGTCATTTGTAAAGCTCGCGCTGCTTGCTGGCTTCGTGATGAATTTCAACTCCCTATAATTACCGCGATTGCGGCCGTTTCCGAAACAATTGAACTCACCACTAGATGTGGTGAATGGTGGCAGTACGGCAAGCAGCCGCTTGTTCTTCGTTTTGAACAAGGCGTCTAGGCTCCATTTCCTTGAGAACACGATACCTATAGTTAGCGTTTTTCATATTAACCTAAAAATTAAGAAGAAGCACTGATCTGCAGTTGCGCTGCAAGCAGCCAACAAGACCTCCAACCTGGCCCACGGTGAACGCGCGCTCACACTGAACATTGGACTCCGTCATGTTTTTTGTTGGATCTTTCTCGTAGCAGATGTGGCTTATCCAATTCTAGGATGAGAATGGTTTCGTCATTTCAACCTGCTTGTGAAAATCGCTCGCAAGCGTCTTGTTGATGAGAGAAAACGCCTTGCGATGCAAAGTATAGCGTCAATAACCAGCACAACTGCTCTTATCAATAAGCCGCCTTCGTCAGTGTACTAACAGGTAATTGACGACTTGCCAAGCTTGCTTAGCCTGGCCAGTTTTCGGCGTCCGGTTATACACGATGTTATCCACCACAGTATTACCTCGGGACCACCAATTATTATTTTTTCTTTACGCCTCGCACCCGACAATCAAGGTTGCCCGAGGTGAATATGATCACTCTATCTAGCTTGGCATTGTGCATCCTTCGTAAAGTCTTTGGGCTTCTCCGCTGCAAATGGTGTCTAAGACGTCCCCAGGTGACGTGCGACTCTGTGGCGACTACCACGCTTTGAACAACGTAACCACTCCTGATCGCCTCTGATCCTCTAACACAGCAGACTTTGCAGCACCACTGCATGAAGCGACCATCATTTGGAAAATAGACCTCATCAAGGCTTTTCATGAGATACCTGTGGAATCTTCGGATGTTCTATGAATGGCTATCAAAACGCCTTTCGGGCTTTTTGAAATCCTACTAGTGCCATTTGGTCTCCATAACGCCACTAAGACAATTCAATGGTTCTTAGACATAATCACTCATGGACTCCTATTACGCTTTGCGTATATCTTTAGCCGCTAGGCAGACTAACACAGTTCACTTCTACGATAGCTTTTCCAACGCCATTCCGAGTATTGCCTGATCTCGAACAAGGGCAAGAGTACCATGGGCGTGCCCCAAATTGACTTTCTCGGCCACTATGTTGATCGTCATAGAATCCAACCGCTTCATTCGAAAGTGCAAGCAATTCGGAACTTTATATTGCTAACTTCCTTGCGAAAGGTGCGAAAGTTCCCGGGACTGATGGGTTGTTATCGGTGTTTCATTCCCCGTCGTGCAGAAATCATCGCACATCTCACTAACCTGCTCCAAGGTAGCAGAAAGAGCACGTCCACTACATAGTGTGAGAATGCGTCCCGCTCCTTCGAGGCTGTTAAAAAGCAGCTCGCACTGACCACCGTTCTTGGTCACTAAACACCGCGGAAGCCTTACTCTGCTTCATGACAGACGCGTCGGACGTGGCTGTTGAAGCCGCCTTGCAGCAGTTCATTGGCAAATCGTGGCAGCCGCTAGCACTCTTTTCGCGTAAGCTCTCACCCACCGAAAGCCACTACAGCACACTCAGACGTGAACTCCTGCATGCTTATGCAACTGTGCATCACTTCAAGCATTTCCTTGAATCCCGATGTTTTTTCATTGCGACGGATCACAAGCTGTTGACGTATGCCATCAAATCTGTGAGCAGCAAGTTTTTGATCCATGAGAGACATCACGTTGCCTACATCACGGAATTCACAACTGATGTCCGGCCCATGCAAGGGTCTGCGATCGATGCACTCTTTCGCCTGACAGCTTCCGTATCTTGCACTGAAGTGCCAACAACTGCCAAATTCAACGCCCTTGCGTCAGAGCAAGCACAAGATGAATAAACAGCACTGCTTCACCTATCCCCTGGAACACACGAGTTTCGCGAAGGTAATATTCTTTCCTGCACCGTTTCGGCAACGCTCGACCGGCTACCGGAAACGCTCGACCAGTTGTTCCAACCGAATTCAGGCACGCTGTCTTTTATTAATTATGTACACTCTTTCACTCTGGCATCCGGACTACTTAACACGTTGTCACCTAGCTTTTTTTCTGGCCAGGAATCAACAAAGACGTTCGCACCAGCAGTTGTTTGAAGTGCTAGGTGTCTAAGGTTATTCGTCCTACGTGGTCACTATGCGGCTCATTCGAAGCACCTTTGAAGCGTTTCGACAAAATTCATGTGTACATTCTAGGGCCATGGTCTCTATCTGACGGAGTCACCTATCTGTTATCATGCACTTACTATTTTACTCGGTGGCCACTGCGTTCCCTATTTCTGACAGAAGAATTGAAACAATTGCAAAGGTCTTTGTGTTTAGTTGGTTGTCATGCTTTGAAGTTTCTTCTACTGTCACCACTGATCGCGGTCGATAGTTTGAGTCCACTTTATTCAACAACCTAATGATATTACCGGGAAGTTCGCGAATTCGCACAAGAGCATACCGTTCCATCACTAACGGCATGATCGAGCGTTTTCAGACGACCCTGAAAGCCTCCTTAAAGACGCAACCCGACACGGTCAAGTGAACAGTTTGGCTTCCACTTGTTTCGCTTAGCATTGGGGAAATGTTAACGCGGGAAATAAAGTGTACACCTGCTGGGTTTATCAATGGTTCGCCGCTCCGTCTTCGTGGAGACCTCTTCAATGGTATTACCACCTCGCCAGCGACTTCTTTATCATCATAATTTTCTTAGTCACCCCATTGCGCCTCTCGCGCAGCTCATGCCTTGCTTGAGCGGTGCGAGAACAGAACTGGTTCATGCGCCTGTCGGTCAACGCGCCTGATGCAGGCAGCCGCAACCGCTGAGCTTAGACCCAATGAGAAGAAACCGGTGAGACTGGTATGGCCCCATCGGCCGCCTTCATGACGTCGTCTCACGTATGTCTACTCTCGCTTTATTGGCGCCCTGAAGAACACGCCCTTCGACGAGAGGGCGCTGCCATACTTCTGCGACTCAGCCCACCAGTGAAGCATCTGTACCCAGACTATCTGAAAGTATGGTTGATGTAACTCGACGCAATGGTCGCGCTGAATGTCATCACGGCACAGCCGACGATGCAGGCCACTCTTTTCGAAGCCCTTCTAGTTGAGCTGCGTCATCTCCCTGCCCCATCTGGCTCCGCCCCGCAGCCCTACGATGACCACTACTCTTTGATGCTTACCTCTTACATTCTTACCTACCGCCCACTTTTTGGAACCCGCGATTGTTCGGTTTCCATGAGTCACAGCGAGCGGTATCAACTGGCCCTCATACCTGCCTTAGCCAAGACTTCATTGCCCCGGCTGCGTCTCTTTCAATCTTACGTACAGCCACCAGCGCAACAAGCTCCACGCCCGACCACCCGCCCAACGAGGTTTCGAACCTTCCTGGTGCCATCGACAAGCCCATCACAAG